AGCACATTCAACTTCCACAATAATAATTTTTAATAATAACAACAAAATATTAATCTTCAGGTTTTTCCCCGTCATATACATTTTCTTCTTTTTCTAGGCAATAAATATATTAGACTACATTTACAATGCACGGCAAAACTTTTGAGATTGCCAGATCCAATATTTATAAACCATTACAGAAACTTTTCTAAGAAACCAAGCACAAATACAACAGTAAATATTCACTATTATTTTTAATTGTTTGCAATAAATATGTAACTGGCCAAATCTGTAATTGATTTCCTCAAACTGACACCACAGCTACTACACTTTTAGTGACAGAAAGTTTTAATGTAATCAATACCTAAATGAGCTACAAGCTACCTTGAAAACTGGAACAAACAACATTTATCATGAGGAAAGAAATATAGTTTGTATAATTACAAAATAAGTTGAAGCTCCTGGATAAGAATCTGTTTATGAGTCTTTTCCTGAAGCACTTAATTGCTGCTAACTAAGTAGAAATACTGCTGTGTCCATGTTCCTGCTTAGAAGGATTTTACACATTTATTTTCAAAACAGCAATGAAATGTACTCTTACACAGTGTATGCTACCTTTGCAGGGGTGTATCTAGAACTTCCTCTGTCATTGAAAAAACAAAAAACAAAACAAAATAAAAAAAAATCATTGAATCTCTGCCAGTAAACAGAGGTGAAAACTCTGTTTTCCCTGAGGTTCTTTCTAGGAATTCCTTCCATAAGCTGCTACATTTTAGTGTAGCTCATAAAGTATATTTATTACTCTGACAGGTGCACAGGCTTGACCAAGGTCGATATAGTGTGCCACTCATAAAACTGTATAAAGGTTATTATGCCAAACAATCTGGATTTAAAAACATCTTCCAGTTTGAACTTCAGTGCAGACAGACTTTACAGATCTTATGCCAGAAAAGGCTGTCTGTCCTTAAGCATAAATTGTGTAATGTATGGACACATATGTGGTGATTGATCAATGAGGATCACTAGAAGAGGATCACTGTTTCATTGATAAACTCTTCAAGAATTTGTTGCATCTTAAAGTAAAAGACATTTTGGTCCATTTAATTTTTCATTAGTAACAAATAGTATCTTTCTCTTTGATTTCCTCATCTTGAATTTTAGATGTGATACCACACAGATGCAATAACCTACCTCTCTTCTATTAATTCCTCATGCTTTCATTTTATGTATCTAAACGTAACTACATACTCAAACGCAGTTCTCAGCTTACATAGATGGTAATTCAAGGACAAGAATATCACTTTCCCAGACTGATAAAAACTTGCATCTCAAAAGGAATCTAAAATATGTTTCAGATTTCTAAAACGATGATGGTAAAAACTTTTGTTTATGACATCGCTAAGAAAACAAACATATTCACGTTATTCTTCAGCACTGACAAATATAGAAGCATGTTGCATTAGAGCAACTTGAGATTTTTTTGAGTGGATGAAAAAATGCACTTGTACTATGTTCTACAACAGGCATGTTCCTCAGCACCATAAAATTATAAGACTATGAGATGACAGAATAATCTTTCTGTCCTTTCACTTCTTTGTAGCCTTTGCAATTGTTTTTAATTGGGAAAAATGTGTAAATACAAGGCAAAATTCGGTCTAAAGTCTTTTATTTTTGAATCTTGAAATGATTTGTGAAAACTTCACAAGGACAAGACAAATTAATAGTAAGCAGAAAATAGAGTAATGGCAACCAGCTCCATGAGGCAACTCTGTAGGTAGGAGGGGGAAAAAAAAAAGAAAAAAAAGTCTCAATTCCTAAAGCAAATGGAATTCTAACAAGAGATTACGTAGAGATCAGTTGATACAGATGTGCCTGCTGGAAAATGATCAAGGTCTGCATAATTTATCTTTCTTCAATCTTATTTTTTTTCTTTGAAAACCATTTTATGATGTCTTCCTCCAGAAAGAAAAATAAATGCATAGGTATCTATTAACAATCAAGTTCTGAAGGAAGTCTAGTAAATACTGCATAGAATTTATACATTTTTGCAGTCGTTAAAACTTATGAACCATATCTGCATGTCTCATGCTTTTCAGATTTAAAAAAAAATGCGCAGAAAGAAGCGTCAGAAGTCATTCCCACCACTCAGTTCTCTCCATTAGATAGCTTAGATACCTAATCTTCTCTACTTCCCATTTCGGTCAATGAGAGAGAAGGTCCTCTGAAGAGTGACTTACAATGGTGAAACGGAGCTACTGCTCTTCCCCTCCGGAAGAGGGAAGGACCTTATTTTTCTCCACAAACTATAGGAAGAACATAGGAGATTTAAAGAGTTAGGCTAAGCATTTAAGCTTAAACCACATAAATACACCCTGAAAAACACTCACTAGTGCTAAGTAACTATTTCTGTGTCCAAATATTTTGTGCCATTTATAGTAAAATATCTGTAACAAGTTGCAACAACACCTCTTCTATGTTATGAATAACATGCCGTTGCTTTCTTGCTTGTTCAGTTTACTACAATGTGCTAAAATGTAGTTAAATTAGAAGAGGCAAAAAAAGGCAGTGACATAAATAACCTTCCTGGATTCAAAGGAGTTAAGACAATAATGTTAGGCTGTCAGTTGAAGGTAGAAGTTCACTAGTCGTTTCCCTTCAGAAGGGAATGCTTTTATACTTCTCAAATGAAACTAGATGCCAAAGGGCAACTCAAAGATTGTAGACTTTAAGAAGATAGTGACTTGAAGGAAGGAGTGACTTGATAGTCTGAGCAGAAAAGGAGGATGGACTGTGGGACAAGGTGGAAGCAGAGAGACACTTCAGTACTACAGGCTGCTTCTTTCTTGTCACAAGGGAGCAATAAAGTAGGCTGAAACGTTCCTATACAGGGTCACACAGTACTATTTTCTATACATTAAATACTTTTCCCATTAAGAAGTAATACGCCTTACTGTGTATGGAAGAAGTTAATTTTGAAGCTGCTTTAAATCAGCCTTGCCATCATCTGCAGAAAAGATCTAAACCCAGGTTCTAACCCAGCTGGAATAAATTTAAACAGTACCTGGGAAATGCAATTCAAGATCTTGTGTCAGAGCAGACAAAATAAGATATTTTACCCAAATGAGTGGAGCTGGAGTTGCCAAGAGTGCCAAAGGGCAGAGGATTGACACTTATGAATCATATTTGTGAAAATCCAAGCAGCACAATGAACGTAGGAACTAAGACAATAAATGATAAATGATTTTAAGTTTTGCCTGTACATAGGAAAATACCTGATACTGTCTGAATTGTTGCAATTCTTAGAAATCACAGTATAAGGAATCGTAGAATCCCTACTGGTAGCTCATATTGTACACATGACTTCTGGGGAAAGTTATTTTAAATATGTTTCCTGGGCAGTCACATCATGATCTTCAAAGTCTGACTGGATGGAGGAACCATCTGCATTTCTTATTGCTTATTATTTTCCAGGAGGAAATGAAAGAAGCTAGAGATCTCTGCATGAACAATGAAAGCCATGGTATTTTTGGTAACTAGGGAATTATTACGACTGCTTTGTTAACCAATTTTTGTCCATACATTGACCTTATGTACTTTTAAAATAAACAAGTGTAATAAGATAACTCTGGTAATCTTATGGTATGGTAAGATATGGTGTACTTGCAAATGAGTTGAAAACTGATTTGTGAGTCTATTCACGTGCAAAAGAAAATCGATAGGAACTCTGCAGGAGACAACTGCAGACTTCTCCTTCTGTTATTTCAAACAAAATATTGCACTATTTTAAATAAAATCCTCAGTTTTTCTCCCAGATACAGCTGAAACAAAATCTGTTTTGGGAAATCTAGATATTCTTACTGTTATCTCACAATTCTTTAATCTAGTTGTCAACAGTGAGGAGTCTGCACTAGATGATTAGTGGTCCTATTAACCAATGTATTTAGGATACAAGCTATTCTAATAGTAGATGCATTTTCACTTACCACATAGTTTATCCTTTATAAATGACCAACTTAAGGACGTTTGAGCTTGTTTATATCTTAAGGATAGTGTTTTCCTCTGGACATCCTTTAAGTGTCTTTGCCAAGAAGATCCACATTGACAAATATAAACTACTCCATCCATAACATAATGAGAGTTCACCCGGTACCAATTTTGAACTTGTGAAGTTAAATCCCCAAATCCCCATATTACTCTTCAGCTCATAATAGTAGGGAATATGAGAGGCAAAACATCATTTATTCTTTCTTCTCTGGACAAAGTTGCCACTTAGATTCAAGCTTAGTTTAGCTTTTGTTTCTTTAGAATACTGAAATAGCTGAATTTGATATCATTTGTTCCTTTTTTTTATTTTTATTTTTATTTTTTAAAGAGCAGCCCTAAGGGTGAGTAGTGCAGTAAAAATTTATTCTGCTATTTTGCTCAATCTGTCTTAAAAGTCACAGTTCATTGCTCACACACAGCCACTACTGTGCAAGTATATAGCATTAACAGAATACCTAAACTCAAATTTCATAATATCACATTTCAGAACAAGACCAGCACACTGAATATAAACCATTCTGAACAATACACTAAATACATTTTCAGACTGTCATATAACATAGGTTGAGAGGAGCAGTTAACAACTGTCATGTGCATGCAGACTGCAAAATAAAGCTCATTTGTAAACATGAAATATCTTCTATTAAAGATACTGAAATAGTTTCAGTGAACTGAACTCAGATCTCAACTTGAATTTGATGGATTGCATGTATGCCTTATCTTTAAGTTACTGCAATAATACTGTGGATTTCAAACAATGCATTCATCTCTGATGTTCTGATTTTTGATGAACCTGTAATTCTATAAATATACGTGAAGAAATATAGTAACAGAAATTATTTGAAAAAAGGAGTGACAAATCTGAAGAAATAACTCCTGATTCTGTTTTCTGGGCATTTCAAGACAGGCTTCAGGATTCATAAACTTCATTGGTATCTCCCCATAGGAACTGAACCCATTAGAGACTGGTAACTCACCCTTTTCTGTTCTTTAATATATTCCATCAGTTCCTCTCTTGTACTTTTCACAGCTTCTTCGATTGCCTTTTGACTTCGCTTTTGCTCCTCCATTAATGCTTCCTTGACAATTTCCTACATAAAAGGAAAAGATGTAAGTGTAAATATTTAAAGTATTTCACAAACATAATACAAGTCATCCCCTTCTCTTTTTCTAAAATTTTTTTTTTATGACCACACTCCTTTTGCAATGATAGTTATCCTAAAAGTGTGCATCAAGATCTTTAAACAAACCTTATAAATTCAGTACTATACTCACAAATATGCATAAAAAGAGAGAAAGAACCAGTTCAAAGTTGTGTTAAAAGATTTTTTTCCCCCCCTCCCCTCCTTTTTTTTTTTTTTTTTGATAAGAAGATCTAGTCCTTCCAAATAGTGAGGAGACAACTGGAGAGAAACAAACAAACAAATAAAAATTTACAGAACTCACAGAAATTTTAAATAAGGTAGTATGACCTTACTTTCTCCTGTGGGCCAAAATTCCTCTCCCCTGCAATGCATGCACAAGTTAAGATACAAATTTGTAAACTGGATCACATACTTGACATACTTGTGTGTATGTGTGTGTACACACGCGTGTTAGGCAGAGGGGTGGGGAGGGCTGGTCATTTTATTTTTGTGTACAGACTTCTAATGGCTACAGACCACAGATCTAAACAGTTTCCAGTCTTTCCTCTGCTATATGATATATTATTCAGATATGATCCATTATACATTAATCAATCATCAAATCAGAATAATGCCTAAAAAGTAACACAGTTTGTAAACACAAAGCAAAACTATTAAAATCATATATTTCACTTTAGTAAGAAAAAAAAAGAATAATCGATGATTCAATTTACCTTTAAGATTGAATTCACAGGCTTTCAGGCTCTTGCCAAAATGAACGCAACTATCTTGTGCATACACTGACAAGCTTAGAAGAAAATAATTATTTTGCTGCAGTACTTAAAAAAGTATGCAATTGAAAATGTCCAACTAAAATATAATTCTTATTTAGTTAGGAATAACGACCAACACAAGGGGAAAAATATAACTTTAAAATGTTTGTGGGCTTAAATGATGATCATTTTAATATTTTGCTTTACTGATTTAACATTTTTTTTTTCCACACTTTACAGTGATACTTTCTTTAAACATATCGTCACAAAATTCTAGCTAACCTAAACACTCACGGTGCTTTACAATTCTACTTTCTGCAGAAAATATTTTTGCTGAAGCTCAATGTTATTGAATGGATTCACTCTGGAGAATAGGTTGAATTTGAAGGCTTTGGAAGTACAAGATGTTTATGAAGCTACATAATTCAACTATAAGTGTGTGGTTAGCATTAACAAAAATAAGTATGCGATCACCATAATGCTATTAGTTTACAAAATGAATAATAGTGTTATCCCCAAAATAGAACAAATAGACCAAATTCCATTTTTTTAAAGGCTCTTCAGTGGAAGTCTTTCAGCTGAAAAAGACAATATGTTTTCTTATCCTTAGCTATTTACTACTTTTGAGCCAAAAAGGAATTGTTTCTGCAAAACTGTATTTTTAGAATTTTTCTTCTATACGGATAATAAAGTAACAAATTTAAAATGCTCATTTGCATAGTCCTCCCTGTTCTGGAATACAGAAAATACGAAAAATATTCTTGTGAAAGCTGATTACAATTTTTCCCCCCCTATTTTAATTCAGGTTTACCAAAGAAAAGTCCTGAGACAAAGGTCTCTTTCACTAGAGAATCCTGGCAAGACTGTTAGAAAAAGCAACAGAAAGTTATATATTATAGCAATATGCTGTTCTCATAATTACATTCTCATGCCAGCTTAATTTTTCAAAAGGTCTCAAAATACTTTGTCTCATATTACAATAGAAAAAAAATCTGGTCAAATACCCTATTAAACGTTTAAAAACAAAATACAGATGTGATAAGATACTATATCTTAATATGCAAAAAATTCTATATCAATCAAATACTTCCAAAAAATATATGTATGTTGACTTTCCTTGATACTATGCTACTAGAAACAAATGAAAAACCCAACAAAGGTCCAAGTAACAAACCAATGAAATTCTGAAAGTCTATTAAAAACTTCCAAGAAATCAGAGACCACTAGTAATATAATATAAAATACTACTCTTACTATCCTAAGATAACAAAAAATAAAATTGGGAAGTTACTTTCCATTTGCAGTAACGACTTCCCAAAAATAAGAATACAGTTAATTCGCTTTGACAAATATGAAGTAACAGATAACAGTCAAAGCTAAGTTGTATAACATGATTAATAGTATCATAGTTAGACTAGCTTATATTCTTCATGATCAAGATTCATTTCAAGAGAAACAAGTTGATAAAACAAACACTATTTCCTAACATCACATACTCTTATTTATCACTTTGATAATATCTTATGCACTAAGAGCTTTATATTAAAAAGGATCCAAGCAGTCCTCTCAGCACCCCTAGAACCTCCCAAAAGTGAGAGACTGAAGAATTCAGCAAAGCCCCTCATCCTTCTTCAGTGTCTTACTCTACAGCAAAAAGGCTATTTTTTGACAAATTCCCCAGGTCCACTGTTTCAGAAAATGTTGAATAAACCTAAACTGGCAGTTATTCAAAAAATTCCATACCTTAAAAAGCTATTTTCAACTCTTTAATCCTTGTGCTTTCTTTTCTCTTACTTTGATTCCCTAATTACACAGTGAAAGCCTCAAAATTTAAGTGCAAACAATTGGCATACCAAAGATTTAAAGATCAAGCTTCATTTTGCGAACATAGTAAACACCATCTATCACATCCTAGTTAACCAACAGAAGTACTGGTATATATTCCAAATATGTATTTATCACTTCATAATGGAAACTAATATAGGGTATATACTGAAATCTACATCAAAATTGTACAGTCATCATTGCTGTCATTAGCAATATGTGCAACACAAATTTGTCATTTTCCTAAAATGGCAGCAGACAGTAGACAATCAAATTAGGTGATTATGTAGGAGATGATTTTTTCCCCTGTACCTAGGATGAATACACAAAACATACACTGTATCTGTTGTCCAAAACGTTAGGAGAGACAGAACTTAAGAAAACGTAAGTTCCTCTAAAATAGTTTATCCAGCACCTAATTCCCTACCCAACGTTCATATCCTCTTGTCTAGCCTGTTTAATAAATCAGCGATACTAATTTTTCCTCCTTCGAAAAGAATCTTCATTCTTTCTGCTACACTATCCTTCACGAAATCCTCTCTTCTAAATTCTCAAAGCCACCGTCATTCTTCAAACTCTTTTTCTGCCATAATTCTTAAGAGCAAATTATCAACCAAAATAAAGGCTTTTCAGATTCTGATATTAGCTGGTACTTTTGTGCATGTACAACCTGTATGTGTATGGGCTCACTTTATTTTCATCTCCTTCTTTGCTCTTTCCACTATTAAGTTTTATCCTAATTTATTTTTTTGGTTGCAAAGGTAAAATAGGCCCTTATCTCATCTCTAGCTATAATGGGAATGGCACTATTAAGTGCCTTAAGTGACAGGTTAGTGTCATTTTAATTCATTCAAAAAAATGGGAAAGCCCATTTTCCTAGAAGCAGGTAAGGAAAATATTCCATTCCACCGCACCCAAGAGCTGCAATTTCTTTTTTTATTTTTTTCTTAAATTATTCAATTATAGTCAAAAAGTAGCCTTTTTGTGGACATATGCTTGACAACACTTATAGAATCAGAATGCTCAATAAAGTTATTTAAGTACTCAATTGAGAAATCATATTCAAATATATATTAGGAAAGTAAGAGATTATATATATCCACAGGAAAACAAAGAAAAAAAAGTGTATCGTGTATACCAGAGCACTCCACTCAACATTCTAATAAAAAAAATGAAACAAAATTTAAAAAAGGGCTATATGATGCTTTGCAATTTTACAGGAAAATTCTTTTCTTTCCACAGAAGGATCAGGTGGCAGTACTGAATTTTATCTAGGAAATTCAACCACAGACTGCAATGTTAACGGTTATCCAAAAAAATAGTAACCCTCAAATTATAATGTCTGTGGTTATAAACTATTACAAAGTACTTCTGAAATCAGTCATGCTTAAAGCCTGCATGCAGTGGACTATTCCTTTTCCAGACTTTGTAAGAATATTAAAAATAAACTGATCTAATGACAGAAATCTTTTCCCACTCAGTGCTATTAGGATGTGTGCTTCCTTATATACTGAAGCTCAGAGAGCATTTTATTTTAATGAAAAATGCTTTTCCATGTTCTTCTGGAATCACCATGACTTCTGGACACACTAACATGTCCATCGAGACATCGACTACAGAATCAACTTTTAGCGTAGACAAAAACAGTGTTCAAAGTGAGGAAGAAGGAAAAAAGTGATTTAGGCTTCCAAATTCAATGGGAATCAACAGGTAGTCCTGCACAGACAGCATAAAGCAGCTACCTAATCACAGAGAGGCAAAAGCTCTTGATCCTGCTAAAAGAGCATAACATCACTGAATACCATAGAAAACTACTGCCAAGCAGGTACCCAATGGTATCTTGCCTCTGCACAAATTAGCGGTTCCAAAACTAGCTGATTTGCTGCCTTGCCAAAATTATTGGATCAGCTGTTGCTTCACATAGGAACAAGAAACAAGTTCTGTGATTTATTCTGGCACAGATCATTGGAACACAGGTCTCTGACAATTTCATAACAAATATGTGGCAAACATCATAACACCATGTAGCCCATGTAGCCTCAAAGAAGAAAGACAGAAGAAACAGATTTTTGCACTTTCATCATGGAATAACAGTTGAATATACATTTACAGATAAGCTGTAAAGGAAAGAGCGTACATATGAAAGAGATGACCAGATAGGGTAGAAAGAGACTACAGAATAGATGAGAAAACACTCCTCCAAGGACAACACTGAAGACTACTGTGTAAAACAAAGAAAATAAAGATAGACTTAAGTGGATTCACAGTGTGAAATTCATTCACTAAATTTCAAAATCAGGAAATCTTGCACCCAAAGTTTTAAAGAAGAAATGTTGGGAAATTATCTGCTAGAACGGTCTTATTTGACAATAAAAAGATAAGATGAATGTATAACCCCATATATTTTCTTCTTTCCTCATACTATCCTCCACAACGTTAATTATACACCTATGCATTTGAAGCACCAGCAAAAATTAAGTGAATTAGAGGTTTCTCTAGATTACAGGACTAAAAAAAGATCATTTTATATTTAATAAATCTGAACAGGCACTAGAGTGAGAAATCCTTTTTAGACAAAATTTTTTATTTATTAGTTTTTCAACCTTCTCATATATAGGGCAATGAAGAAAAACATTTACACAGAAAATCATTCTCAGTAAATATGTTATGGTTAAGTTAAGCAATAACAGGAAAGAAATGAAAGTCAGCTCTTAAGTATATAGCCAACACCTGATATTTTCAGTTATATATCTTTTGTTCACTTATACGCTACTGGGTGTGGAAATCCTTAAGACATTCAATGCAAAATTGATTCATGCTTGCCAAAGCTGTCAACAGAAGCGCTCCCTCAAGCACAGAGTCTGAACACCAGAAAGGTTTTAATAATGCAGCAGGGAAGTAGCCATCCATTTTTCTAGATTAAACACTGTATGTTCTAGACATTTTATTTTTATCTTCTGAGCAACAATATTATGCTGGCATCCGTAAACTGATGGAAAAACATTAAACATACTTTAAAGCACATACAGTACCAACTGAAAAATTTTTAATTAATCAAGTTTTTCCAACCATTTAGATGTTTGGCAATAAAAATTACACTAGGCATTCTAAAATAATAAATTTTAAATCATAGTTCTTCAAAGAACAACACATGAACCCCCAGGAGTGTGAAGAAATTCAATTGTCTTGAATGCTAAGACGCTTTGGGCAACAACTACTGGGAAGTTCACATTTTTCCATAAGTTTTTTACTTAAGCTTTTCTTCCAAAAATGTTTTTTCTTTGTATATCTCAGTATATCTCAGTTGTGGCTTGGCTGCATGAAAAACTGCAGCCTCAGTTTTCCTGAAATACTTTCCCATTGGTAAGATCATTTTGCCTTGGTGCTTTTGCTCATGTCCAAGAGGAAGTAGATTTTATGTTAATTTCTTTTAATAAATTAAAAGGTTTTTTCCTTCTAATTATTTGCAGCCTTCAGAATAATTTTAGTCTCTTAACATATTTGCTGTGTGGATTATAGCAATGATGAAGTAAAGCTCTCTTTCCCCTGAGAGTCAGGGTAAAACACAATATTTTAAATTTAACCTTAAGCCTTCAGGAAATGACAAGGGTGCTTCTTTGCTTTAAGTGCTTTAGGAGAGTTACTAATTTCAAGCTGTGACACGGACCTGAATTTCCAGGGCTTATCCTTCATCTGCCAGCTTTCATTCTACTTTTAATAAATTTTCTTTAAAATCAAAATTATTGTATATAAATTATCTCTTCATCAGGTCCTTTTCTAAAGATTCCACCTCATTTATATAATTAAGTATTTAGCTTTGTAAAATGCTAGCACTACCATGCTTACATTATAATTACTCTGCTTTTTCCACTAATTACCAATGGGTTACAATATCCTTTCTATTTCATCCAAATGTTTATGGATCTCTTCATCCTATAGCCCCAAAGTTTTTAGGCTCTCAAGAGTAAAAATAAGTGAAAAGATGACAAATCTACGAAACACTGGAGAGTACTGTCCATTCTCTTTTTGGATTAAGGTCTTATTTTCACCCTAGGAGCTTCACTACAACTTTGAATTTTGTGGAAAAAGCTTCAGCTTCAGATAAATCACTTATTACAGATTCTCTGTATCTAGAGGGCAATCGCTACTTTATTTCAAAGAAAACGTTCTGGAAAAAATATTCCAGTGAGAAATTTTTCTATTCCACCAGGCATTCCTCCCAACGTTGAGAACTACTAGACATATTATACTCTGCATAGAAATTGCCACTGTAAAAAGCATACAACGTATCAAAAATAGAACAACAACAACAAAATGGAGACAAAACAGCATATATCTAGCCTGCTGAAAAAAAAAAATGCTGAACATATGAGTTCCTCATCTATACTGACTTTTCAATGTGTTGTAAAAAGATCATGAGGCTACTGGGCAAACTTAACTTCAGTCAAAGGACTATTTAGTTTTAAGGTGAGTTTATTCTCCCCAATTTACAGTACAATGCCAACCTCCCCAAAACCAACAATCCTTTTCTGAATAAAATAGGTTTTTTTAAAAAAGTACTAAGCACATGAATAACATGTATAAAACTTGACGATGCTGCCATACTCTACTGAAAGGAAACAGTCTCTTGGACTTACTAATACCTTACATTCCCTTGAGACAGCACTCTAGAAGTTTGACATTTCCTTGGTGATGTAATATATTTCATTTATCCCTGCTAGAATTAGGGAGCTTCAAAGAATAACATCTTCAATTTAATTAAAAATCACAGATCTCCAACTAAAGACCCAAAGCCACTGGAACAGTCAAACCTTTTCATGAAACTAATGTAACATTCATGTTACTTTAATCTTTCAAGTCCTTTAAAAAAGGGGGGAAGGGAACATGAAAAGGTTGCTCCATCACGCTGAAATGTTAACTCAGAATGTCTCAGTTTATATGAAGTTAACTTACATTGTAAATTTTTCTTTACTTTGCTCTTTCATATTTAGTAACTAAATAATTGATACTGATCATGAACTGTACCAAACTGTTCCCAAATTCTAAGTTTTTTTTTCCTATGGCAAGGTTAAATTAATAAAATAAACATTATAATAAAGAAGCACCTCCTTATCTGCACACCCAGCATCTTACTGAGGACAAACAATTTTTTATGGCAAAGGTTCGTCAAACATGAATACGCAGTAACTAAAACCAATCTGCATCAAGTTTCCATTACGACTATCCTGCCCAGCCTTTCTGCAACGACAAACAACAGGAAAAAAAAACCCACCAAAAACAACCTCCTTCCCCATCAACCCCGCAAATACAAATCCCCATCTCATCCACATATGGCAGATATTAATCTTTTCTTCTTCTAAATAATTTCATTAGAACACGAAGTGAAATCGTATCACTTGATTCAGCTACAGGAAATTACACAACACATAACTAACTACCTGTGCCAGGAACATCACTGACTGTCATTCATGAACTTAATGACACATTACTGTAAGACTCCTATTAATATCTTTATATTCTTTTTCTGTAGTAGAAAATTTTATTGCTCTCTCCATTCTGTGAACAGCTTCTCCATTCCACTGTTAACATTTCTCATTCCAGATTCATATCTAAAACGATTCATATCTAACTAACATTGAATAATTGTTCTCAGCTTGAATTTAGCTTTGAAGTCAGCTGCTTCTCTTTTAGTTGTAAGTGCTTGAAGTGCTTGCAGGTTTGTCAATATTCATGCAATTTTACTATATTGATAGCTTACTTGTTGACATCTTTACGTTCAAAAGAAGTAAAGAAACTATATATATTGAGTATACTTCATTTACACTTTATTTACACTAGGAACTAGGCAACACAGATATAGAGCATAATAATGGCTTAGGATCAAAAACAGTTTTGTCTAACTGGTTAGGTATGAAATGAATAATTCTGTCAAACACTGTAAAAGAAAAAAATCGGATCTGTTTTCAAAAAGACGGTATTTAAATTTCTATGACATACTAAAAACTTCTGTTTTAATTAAATTCTAAAGGTATGGGTTTTGGGGGGTTATTCAGGACAAAGTAATTTAACAATATGAAATTCCAACTCCTGAATGAAACATACCTTGTTTCAAGTTCTTCAGACTGTGATATTCAAATAGGCCACCAAAAAAAGCAGTGAATTTATAGTCTGTTCCCAAAAATATTTCTACCATCACAGACTAAAAAATTCAGCTTTTGGAAGAGCATTTAACTGCTATTATAACATACTTGATTTGTAATTCCTATTGTTTAGTAAAAATTGGTGCTGGGAATTTCCCTCTCAAATAATTTAAGTGACATACAATTATCCTTATAGGAGCACCTCTCTAAAAAGTAACGCTAGAAATATTTCTGGCTCATTACTGTTATAGTTTTCCAATTTTGATAACTCTCTTTCTATTTATCTCGTATCTGTTCTATTTTTTGTCTTCAAAAAATATCTTTTTCCTAAGATAGATAGCAGAATTCCGGCATAATAAAGAAGCATAGTAACATCTCTTCTCCTCCGTAGGTATAAAAAAGAAAGTCATCTAACCTTTCTATGTCTCAGATACCTGTATCTGAGCTAGTTATCTTGGGTTCCTTTTAAAGTCAGCATAGAGAAACAGGCAGTTACAGGTCATGATTCATCTCATTTCAATATACATGCTTGAAAAGGTCACAGGAATTGTATTCTAAATGTGCCAAATTGTCTCCATATACATAGTACAGATGAAAATAAATTAATAAGATTGCTGCGCATTTCAAATATCAGGTGAGTGCAGTGATAAATGACGGATAACCTATTTTTAAAGAAAATCTACCACAACATTAGGGAGACAAAGAGAAAATAAAGCACGCAAAGCAGGTCCATGCAAGAGTAAAATATACTAACCTGATTGTGTTTTCTTTGCTCTTGCATGGCTTGCAAAACAGCCTGGGCAATCTTTTCTTTGTGTGTGTCACGTTCTGCTTCCCACATTTTTCTTTCTTCTGCATGAATCTTCTCCATATTTCTCCTTTCCTCCTCTACTGCTTTCAGAACAGCCTCTTGCACGACTTCTTTTTCAGCCTTTGAAACAAATAAAGGACAACTAAATGACCACAATGCCTAACATTGGTGCCTAACTCATAAGTATTACTTCTTTTAATGAGACTTATGAGCTGATAAGATACAATAAATATTTTTACTTCTAAACTATGAGCTCAAATGTATTTTAAGGTGCTACTAATCAGATATTGCCATTAGATAATGACTTTGTAGTTTCAGGAAGAAAAAAGAAGACAAAAAAAAGTTATAAGCAAGATTCCCACCTACTGAAATCATGGACAGTATATCATAACTATTTTTTTCTGCTAGGCAGCAGAGGGGCCAGACACTGAGCAGTGCTACTGACTAAAAATCTTTCTAATCCTTAAGGAATTAGCTGTAAAATTGGGTATGTCATATTGGTGAAACAACATGAAAGAAGAACGTTGACATTCAGTGATTACACAAAATCATCAGAAGATAGAGGCTGAAGTTGGAGCAAAAAAGACAATGCACAGCTTTACGTATGTTGAGCTACACACAAGTATATTTATCAGCAAGACAATCAGACATTGCACACTATCTACAGATAAATAATAGTATGCTGAAGTTCAAGATCAACAAATGTTGGCTGGCAAAACAAGCATTTAATGAGCTTATAAGTCAGTCTAATGTCCTATAGTGGCAATTACGGAACTGGTGAAGCAAGGTTATAAATGGAAATAAACATTGGCTTTTTCAAATACTAATACTTATAAGAAAAGCTTTTTATTGCAATTCCTTAATTTTTTAAATTTAATTAGAAATTCATAAAGTATAATTAAAAAAAAAAACAAACTTTGCAATAAAATATCTTAATTTGGTAGGGCCTTCTTAATTTTTGTTGCTCAAACATTTACCTCAGGTATCAACCATGTAATAAAGTCCATTGCGCTGCTGAATGTTATTCAAACAGGTGCTCAGAAAATGTGCGTGTTCTACATATAAAGGTATACAGGAAATAATCACCTGTGTTAGGTTACATCTCTAGAGGTTTCCCCAGAATATTATAAGCAGCTACAACTTTGTATTGGAAGTATAGCATAAATTACTCTCCTAACCACAACGCACTTAATTATGAAATCAACTGAAGAAACCATACTGAAAAGTGAAAAATCTACTTTGTTTAATCAAACATGCAACTTCTGTAAACTGATGCTGTTAACATTTGCTCTTAATGTTTGCTACATTTTTCTTATGGGATTTTATAAAATAGTATACTAGAAAATTAACTATTTAAGTCTGTCCTCATTAAAAATTACTTTATTTAACAAAAATTAAATAAGATGCAATGCTAATTGTCTTAAAGTTCTTCAAACCAAGGGGTACTGATGTTCTCAAGACTGAAAACAAATATTTTTTATTTAGGGAACACCAAAGATTGTGACTTCATGGTATAAATTAAATCTTGGTATAAATTAATTCTATTCTTAAATAGAAGAAATTAAGCTAAATCTCCTAAACAGTTAGGATATCTCTACGAAGGCCTAAGTTATAGTAGATGCATTCACTATAGTTTTCTTTGAACACGAATGAGAATATAATTTTTGACAAATCTAGCTATGAAATAAGAATCAGCTGCTGAACTTGGCATTCCTAATGACACTAATGGAATCTACATTGTATATCTACAAAGAGGTACCTTTGCCACAGCTGCCAGAGCCTCCTTACTTCTTTTCCTTTCTTCATCCAAACATTTGTCAAGTACTTCCTGCAAGCGTTATGAAAAATTAAATTGCGATACACAAAGGTTGAATGGCTAAAAATCATTTCAAACCCTCAAAATGCTTGACAAGGAATAATTTTTCCTGCCAATAACTGTGACAAAATCATTCCCTATGAACTCCATGGTGCAGTTCAGACTCCTTTTTTTGTAAATAAAAGCAATACCTTATGTTTTTGTGATTGTTGCAGCAAAGCTTCTTCCATCTTTTCTGATAACGCTTCCTTCTCTGCCTCCAAAATGTCAAGAAGTCTCTGATGCTATTGGAAGAAAACATTCATATCATAACTGCAGTATGCTAGTAGAACAGACAAAAAGAACTCATGCAACATACTGAGGTTTGTCCTTTGCTTATAAAATGATTCAAAGTCTAGATTCAATTAAACAACATAAACATTGCTCCTTTAATAGCTTTGATGACAAGGGAAGCTCGTAATAACATGGAACATTTAGCGCTACGACTATTATATCCTCTCAATCTGAAAGGTATAACAAAGGAAAGTGGAAAAAAATTACTATATAGAACAACACTCCTTGCAGAATTTATAAAGATGGTCAAAGCAACATCATACTTGAAAGAATTCATTGAAACAGCTGCGGAAGTTAAAGTATGCTTGTACTACCTTTCACTTTAACATATGGCAGAAGGTAACTGTAAATATTCTTCTCAACCAACTGTGATACTCTGAACTCTAAATGCCAGGAGATGACAGCAAAAGAGAAAGCTCCTTCTAACTTTCTTGTAGTCTGAAACATTTTTCAGGGAGAGAGAGAAAGTACTGAAATAAAGTCACTAAGTAGACTATATCTGATAATGTCATCACTGTTTTTAATCATAATCTTTTTATCGATTTTTTCAAAAAAACAAGTGTAACATCCTAGTGATGTGGGTTTTGCCTTTAAAAACTAAGCTTCATTCTGAACCTAAAAATCATTACTGGAAATTATCAATGCCATGTGTATTTGTCAAGAAAAAAAGGATAGTAAATCAGCACGCTTTATTATATGCTATTTAAGAGAATTATTGCAACCTTAAAATAAAAGTAGAGTATCCATACATCATAGTATTTTAGAAGATCACCAAAAGGTATTACACTACAGCTTTAAGAACAAAAGAATATACACTGAACATAAAACTTTCACACAAACTCTTAAGCAAGCAAATATGCCTTTAACCAGCATTTCTAAGAAACTGCCATTTCTGCTTCATGAATTTTATTATGTTTTAATTATAAGTGTCTCTAATGTCAGCAAGAAACACATTACCCAACTGCAATACTATGTTTTGAAAAATATTTTTACATTTAAAGAATAGAATAGAAAACTTCTAGACTGCTTTATAAAATAAAACACCTATCTGTGCTTCCAGAATAAACATGCAAAGAGGCATTTCCTTGTGAAATTTACTTAAAATAGGTCTGAAGGGAGCAGACATAGTCTAATGGAAAACACCTGTGGAAGGAGTGGTGAAAGTCACATCATGGTTATACTTAACGATGTGCAACTAACTTTTCTTGTGGATTCAGTATTTTCAAACATTAACTTTAATTATCAGGGCAGCTATAGATTTTTTTCCCCCTCGTAATGCAAACAAAAGTGAAATAATAAATGGACATTATTACTTAGATAATCTCCATTATTCTTCTTCACTTGACTAACTGCAGAGAGACTACAAACTGGCATCTGTTATTCCACGTTCATTTGAAAGATTGATGCAATAACAGACAAACATACTTAAACACTGAATCAGATACATTCCACAAATCAAAGTTAGTAATGTCAATTAAAAGAGGTGAACTTTACTGGCTTTAGATAAGAATCAGAGGGATTTTCTAAGGTATGGTAAGCAGAGAAAATCATCTCTTTACAGCTTTAAAATATCTACAACAGAACGGCAATCAACTTGTTTTACAATTTCTTGTACAACAGCTACAGGCATTTAACTGCAGTTTGACACCAACCACCACATTTCTAGGTTGGATGAGAAGAATACGTGTGTACATTTAAAGCTGCCATACTGGACCAGCTATTGTATGTATTTTACAATGTTCCCTGTGTAATCACTATTTTCAGGCTTTAATCTTCAGGGTAGGTTTAGAAATATGCAAGAAAACAGATAAGCCTATTCTGTAGGTTCTGAAACAATGCTGAAATTTGCATTATTTCAGTAAAGTAATTCAGTCTACATGGACAATGGAGACAATTGTCTGTTCTACCTGCAGCTGAAATGGATACCTTCATGACTGCAGCCTTCTGTGTGAATCTAACCTCACCACACAGCTTTTTTTTTTTTTTTTTCCTTCAAAAAATCATGGAGACCTACAATCCTGAAAAACACAAAAATTGGGACAAAGGCATTTCTAGCCTAAGGAAACTTGCAGTGTTCTGATCTGAAGTAAAAACGTACCTCCTTCCCTGCAAAGAAGAGAATACAACTAAATCCAGAGAATAAGGATTTGCATAACATACGACAATGTTAAGCAAGTTGGGTGTTACAGTGATGAGGAGTTTAACACCTGGACATATTTGTCAAATTCAATCAATTCCATTGAGATAGAGTGTAATACACATTTTGCAGTATAGACAGCAGTATAAGAGGAAGTCTTTTTACTTCTTCCAGAAGAAGAAAGGGAAGCCTTCAAAATACAGTACATCGCTTTTGCTCAATGCTTTTGACTACAAAAAAATTGTCTAATGAATAAACAGTTACCATAGATGTGAAGGCCGCTGTAAGTGCTATTTACGGTTCGATCACCAGTCTACCTTGGGATCTTATTTCCTTGTCAGATTAGAAAAACTACATGGTTTTGTATTTTGAATTCCATGAAATTTATGGAAATTTACTAAAAACTGCCATTTTTTACATTAAACTTTTTTCTGTGTATAAATGCCCACTAGTTTTTTTTTTTTTTTTCCCCAAGATATTGCAGGTAAATGCTGGCCATAAATATATTTAGAATGTTTTCAAAATAAAAGCTAATGACACCTGGAATACTTCAAAGCAAGCTCTTTTACATTACATATACTTCCATGAGAAAGAAGGATGCTAAAATTCGTAATTTCATCAAGATTGTAAGCTTCTTGTGAATAGCCTGGCAGGCCCTTTTCTATTATAATGTAAATGTTTATTCGTTGAGGAATAATCCTTCCATAAACGGTTACCTTCATATCTAAACTTCCAAAAGTTCATATATCATCACAAATGTTGCAACAGCTGTCCATACAACCCAGTAAAGCACATTCTCTTGTATTAAAGCTTGAGAAATACCTTGAAGAACTGTTTATTTGGCTTCAAAATTTAATATCAGCCAACCAGTTTTCTTTTTCAGAGAAAAACGTATTTTCAACTATTAAATTACATAAATTATTTGAAAAGAAGTAAGTAACTGGAAATAGATAAAGCAGAATAAAATAGTGTGAATCACTTCTCCCCAGAATAGGTCTTGAGTCCAGAAAGCCTATATTGTATAGTTAGCACAGATATAATGAAAAGGATGAAAACTGACACCTTGCATTTAATTAAGAGAGGTTATTTATTAGGAACTTCTGCTTTTCCAGAGCAGTGTGCTTTATTAGTCCTTATATTGAACCATGGAATCTCCTTGAAAATTATGCCTATTAAAATGAGGTGAAGTGTGCTCAGTGACATCACTGATCCACTCCATAGACAAGAACGAATCTCCCTGTCACCTGCATCCCTTTTTCATGAAAGCACAGATCTTTCAAAGGTACAGTCAGGTACCTAAATGTTTTTGGAAGATCTCATATTACGCATAAACCTTGAGCATCAAAGGTCACATATACTGAGATAAATGCCTATAGGTGAGCAAATTTTTCTCATAAACTCCCTCCTCTCCTCATATGACAGAAAAGCTATAGAAAGTATGTGAATTGAATGAAACTCACCCAACATTTCCTTGTTTCCACAGGTAAGAGTTATGAATATGTTCCCCTCTGTTAGATACAGTTATAGGAGTAAATGAAGAGCCCTGAAACCACCCTGAGCTATCTGTACATTGAGTTTCATTTCCCAGGAATTGTAGATGCTACTTTTTATCAGGTTCATTCACAGGTCAAAGTTGGAGCTCTTCTGCTAATTGTACCTGTCAAAAGGACATTCCTAATTCTCCAACAATCAACCTAATACAAGTCTTCAAGAAAGAATGGTTGGACTCCTGTACATAGGATAACGAATTCATCAGACCTAACAGTCCTACATATAAAACGATAAAATATTATTTCAGTTCTCTGAAAGTTATGATACAGACCTACTATGGAGTCTTAAATTTGGAAAAAAAAAAATCCAATCTGTGCAGACAGTAGGACATGAATTGTCTGTGAAGCTTATAATGGAAGTTGAAATGAGATATTTCCCTTAACTGATCAACAATCCAAAGCTCAGAAAATTGTTTAGAAAATTAAAAAGATGTTGGGGCTTTGGTAGTTATCTAGTTATTCGTAAACAAACATACCTAACTGAGTTTCAAGACTAAAGGGTTTTCACTAAAATTGGTGAAAAGTTATGGCTATAGATAATCTGGGGTGGGGAGGGAGGAGGGTGAACCGATAGTATGGCAGATAAATTAGCATGAAGCCAAAAGAAATCTCAGCAAAAATTCTACTTTAATGGAATAAGAAAATTTTCAGTCAGCATAAGTTTGCTAGGTCTGCACATTTACACAGTACATGTAAGCTATAAGGCACAGCAGAATGCTATGCAAAGATACTAAGCCAGCTCTGAATACCTTAAACTTAGGTGCCACAAATAGTATAGTATATAAACATTCATGTAATATATAGAAGTTCATGCGTCACTGTGCCTGAACTCTTACTTAGCTTTACTCCCTTTCCAATCAAGTCTTCGTTTGCTCCCTTCTATTCCTTAGTCAGGGAGTACAGTGCACAGAGTGTAAAATTCTGAAGTGCAAAAATTCTGAAGAGCAAAATCATAGTGGGATATGGTGGCCTGAAAGTGTTTTGCCACCAATAAAAGAAAAAACTTTTTATAAAAAAGGTATTCCAAAGTGGAGAGAAATATTAGCATTCCTACCCTCCTCTGTCGAAAGCAGCAAGAGAGAAGATCAAGAAGAGTTAAAAGAAAATCAAGCTAAAACAAAAGGCATTCAAAAATAGGTTATGTTTTTCTCTCTGAAAGAAGTTATTTAGGCAATAGTTCCAAATGAAAAATGTTTGATGTAGATTCAAATATAAATACAGAGGTCCTGTGGTTTTTCTTGATTCCTGTAAAAAAGAAATCAAA